TAGCCAGTCTACTAGACAGTAGAGCTGGAAGGATATTGATTAAATTAGAGAAATTGTGCGTTCAAGTTCACACCTTTTCAACACATCGTACTACGGTATATTTCAATAGGGTTAGAGTTCAGTAGTTGGTGCTTCTTTTCTGTGGGGATTGAATTCCATAACGCTGACGCCCTTCATACCGGTACCTGGTACGTATCAAGCATCAGCCAAGAGGCAACGAGGCAACCGACCACTCCCTGCCCTTTGTACCACCACAGACGGCCTGCTACATGCAGAGCCCCTCTCCCTCCTCTTAACATTTAATCGACGCTTCTGTTCTTGCAAGCCCCGTTGATGCAATGATTGATGATCTTTCCATTAACATTTCCATGAGAAAAGCAGTGGTGCGGGTTCCGAAGATAAGATCGGCCTCGGAATCATGGAAGTTCGTTCATGATTTGTTCTGGACTCGACAAGGGGAACACGATTTCGTCCCCTTGTTCGCCTTTGATATCGTTTCGTCATTTGGATACTTTCTGCCTACGCGGGCAGCTTCCAAAGACCCCACACTCCTGGAATGGAAGATTTCTTGGCTACAACGAATTCTGCCGGCGTCGTGAATGGTACAGGGGTTTGATGAACAACGTTGGCATTACAGGGAGTGTCTTGTTCACTGGATTCCTTGCCCTGCAAAGATTGTCTATTGTCGCTGGTCAGAAGTCTCGGATGTGAGGCGACTTGAGAAGATTGCCTTTGGGCCTTTGGATTCCTCTATCCCGTGACCACTGGAGAGTCTGCTTGCTGGTGACATACCAATTCAACCTTTTATGAGTACGGGAATCTGCTGGATCAACCCATATCCGTTTGTCTGCGACGAAATACGATGCAAACACCTACCCCAAGCCAAAACCTGGTGCAACAACCATCCCGACTCCAGCTCGGAGGAAATTCCATCGAGGTCTGGAAACTTCATGGTCTTTTCCTTTGTGACCCATGAAAGCTCAACTGGGCAGATACAAAAAAAAGCAAGTCATTCGAAAAGCAATGCTCTTCATTTTGTATGTCCTCAAAGCAGAGGAGGAGCAGTCGGATATCAAGGATCTACTCATCAACTTTCTGTGGCCAATTCAAGGTGTTCCCTATGTGTTGGTGCACTCCATCCAATGTAGCTGAAAAACTCCTTTGCTGGGACTGCTGCAAGAAAGCGGACCAACTTCGGTTTCAAGTCGTCGCGAGTACATCGATGATGAATCCAACCACCTTTCCCACATTTCCAGCTTCCTTGGACAGCAAAAGGCGAAGGGAAAGAACTGTGCCATTCAGAGCTGCTTTGGTGGCTTGGCAGTTAGTTGGTTTCATCCACGAAAACAAAAAGGATCATATTGCTGGCCACATTTCGACAATTCCAAGCCAGCAGTTTGGGCGAAATGCAACGGGGTGATCCAGGGCGTGGTCTGGCTGAAGATCCAAACCAATGCTCCCGTCGATACCACGTATCATTTCTCATCGTGCACGGTGCCTTGGTCCGATCATTGCCCTTGTCGATGTCTGGGGAATCCATCGATATGCCATCGTCCAAGTTGAGAAGAAGCAACAGCATCCTTGAACGAGCTTGTCAAACGCATTTTCTATGATATTTGGTAGCTGTTGTCCTTCGATCCAAGGCGCGAGAAACTGACTACAAATACCACACGGGTCCCCGTTTCAATTGCCAACCCCTTGTGGCTAACACATCCTCCAAACAGCAAGGCAGTGCCCGCTGGAGGGATCATAACCAAGGAAGGATCGTGCTGTCCTTCGGTAGGAGAAGACTGACTCCAAAAAGCTGTTCCGCCCCCTGTAAAATCAAGAATGGGATCCGACAAGGGCACCAATAGAGTCAGGGCATGGCAATCCTTGTGCATGCTAAATTTCCCATTGGGGGCTGAATAGACATTCACAGCAGGTTCGCGCCTGGAATATTCGAGCTGGTTGTTGAGGAATAATTGAGCGATTGACGTCACACCACCATCCTTCTGTTTGCCAAAAAGAGTCTCCTTCAAGGAAGGACAGATCTCTTGATCGATAAAGATGAGGGCTCTTTCCAGGATTTCTTCTAGGAAAAGGGATAGTGTCTCAGGGAGACCAGCCACTGGAGCTCTTCCCCGGCTGTTTTCTCGACTCGCCGCTGCCAAGGTCGGCATTCGAACCACACATACCTGCAATGTGTGGTCCAGGGTGCAATTGTTCGACTTGTTTGTTCTTTGGGTGGTGGCTGCGGCCGACGCCAAGCGACTCAGGTACTCGGTTTCGTCTTTTGAAAGGAGACTTGTCAGCGTTATTAGGCTTTCCCCACTTTGGATTCGTTCCCCCAGAGATGACTGATGTTGTTGTGTAGCTTCCCCTTTCTTTCTTATGCAATGCTCTTCCACATGGATGTCCATGCTAGCTAGCTAGTAGACAGGGATCATTCGAAGGGCTGAAGCAAGGGCGGTGGATCCCGACGACCGCAGAAGTTGCCATTGACGATCCTTTTCGTCGCGATTATTTCATCATCATCTGAGACTGCCAACCTTCCAACTAGATATGGAATGACCGGATTGTACAAAACAAGAAAAATCGATAACAAGGGGGCAGAACCAAAGGTACCGTAGACTGACGGACAGGCATCCTTGGTGACCACACCGACGAAATAATGAGGCATGAAGCGTGATTTAGTACCAGTGGGCATCGATGCAACGAACTTGGGCGTTCTCGAGGAGAATCCAAAGGCGTTCTGGATAATCAGTCCCCATACGTGTATATGGTCCGGACTATCATCCACCCAGCCGTACGACCTCATACTACAGTAGGTATGGTACACCCAAAGGTCGAGCTTGGCCTCCTCCTCACCATACGATCGATGTCACCAGTCCAAGGCAGTCTCTGAGACGGTCCAGATCCAGCAATCCTCGTTTGGTGGCAGAAGGAGGCACTGAAGGGGAAAATCATGAAGAAGATGGAATCAATCACATGTACTCTAGCTAGTACGAGCACAATGTTTGAAAATTAAGAAGAATAAACCACCAATCATACAGCCTCTACTGACACCCAACGGCCCCTGACCTCCGGTGCCACCATGGGAGTCGACCAATCTCTGTGGGAATCCAATATCAGCAGTCCTCGCTTTGTAGAGGAAGTACCACCGGTGGGTATTTTGAGGTGTGCCATGACATACAAAGGAACGGCGAAAGAGCTAAGTTGTGAGCGCATACCGGACCGTGGTTGTTTCGTGACAGAGAGGAGCAAGAAACATCGGGGCACACGGTCCTGGTAGTGCCAATCTCAATGACGTTTGAAGCTTTACAACTGAAGCGCTTTTGAAAAGGAGCTCTTCCATTGCAAAACACAGGCATAAGAAGACAATGAAGGGAGCGCAAACAATTGATGCGTCCACGGATGCCGAGAAAAATCGATGGAGGTCGGCCAAGATTTCGAAGGTACGGTAATGACGGTACGGTACGGCACGGCACGGCCACCGCGGTCCGTTAAAACTTTGAAAGCCGCTCAATGAAACAGCCCACTTTCTCCTCCACTTTCAGTTTGTTCCTTGAAACCTCTCAATTTCTCCGTTGCTCTTGCTACGATACGGTACCAATACGGGTGACACAAGCAAGGACATCCCATCTTCTTTCGTAGGACTATTGTTAATAGGTAAGAGGGTTTGTCTAGCTAGAGTCGATGTGAATCGAATCGGTTTTGACGGTATCGTTCGTTCTGCCTCTTGAGATGGCATGGAGACAACGGTCTCATCGATCGACGAGGCGTTGCTGCTTGTTCAATTACCATTGACCAGCTGTTTGTTCTTGTACCATTCTTCTTGTTCACACAGTTGCAAGGACAACGATGGCCCCCTTCGATTTGGACTTTGTCCTAGAGGACCCCGCGAACTTCGGGGTTCACATCATCGCGGCCGTTGACACGTTCGTGGTAGCCAGCGACTACGGATCTCCCACGGACGATTCGGTCGATACTCTTTGCAAGTTTCACATGTTGGAAGCTGCCTTTGTTCGAGAAGTCTACTATGCTCTTCAAGGCAAATGCCATAACCCATGGTTGTCGGATGTCGTGAACGATGCCATCTTCGATGTCTTCCTTCGGAATGTAACCAAGGAGCAAGTCGCGACGGTTGACGAGGCCGTCAAGTTGGAAGAACCCCTTCCCGACGGCTCTGATTTGCCGGTTGAACTGGCGTTGTGCATTCGGTATGCAATCGACAGTGGTGAAAGTACTTGTTTGAACCAAACGAACATGGCAACTGTCAATCGATACCTTTTGGACAAGAAGGCAACTTCGGCAAGTCAAACGAACAATGTTGACAAGATGCCAAATGCAATCTTTGGATCATGGGCTGGTGTTGGTCCAGTGTTGATGGGTATTGTGGCCATTCTGGTGGCTACTGTTTTCAAAGCCTGTCTTTGTGCAGCTGCAATCTGCCTTCTCGGTGGTGCTCTCGCAACTGCAGGTTGCTCTGGTTTCATTGAGTCCAAGGGAGAAAAGACGTCAACGGCATGCACCGAGGGTCCGTCGTCTCAAAAGAAGTCAAACATTGACTCGGATAAAGAAGACGACAGTTTGCCGCTTTTGTCCGGCTCCGAAAACTCATCCGAGTCGATGTGTGATCCCCTCGACTAGCTAGTAGGGTCCCCTGCAGCGTCCTCTACGATTCACTTCATGAAGATTGCTCGGACCGGTACCGTATGTAAGTAGGCTGTCTACGAAACCGCATCTAGCTAGCTAGCTGGAATAATCTTGAATTCTGTCATGTATTGGATTCATTCAGCTCCAGTATGCATTAGCTCAAGTCTGGGTTTTCGTGATCCCGGTCGATCGTCATGTCCACGGGGAATTCCAGAGGAGGGTCTCTGCTGTACGGTACCGGTACCGGTATTGCTGTGTTACGAAGAGCACGGCGTGACGTACTCCTTAGCAATTCCAATCATCCTGTTTATGTCATCCCCGTCATACCAGAATTTTTGAAACCCATTTGCTTTAGTCTGGTGTTTCCCAGCAATCTTGTGGGGGTCGCCTTGAACCACGCCTTCTTTCACCTCGGCAATCAATCGGCTGCCAAAGCCAATTGCTGCCAACTGCTCCTTGGCCTTCGTGAGATCAGTAAATGTTCCAGTCACAGCATTGTTATCTACGACAACAAAGTAGCTGGGACCGCCTGCGTCTTGCGAAAACTCGTCCGACCGCGAACGAAGAAACTGCTCAGCAAGGTCAAGCATCCTTTGCGTATCACCAGGGCCATCCCACTTGCTGCTGAACCCATTGGCAGGGTTCTGTGTCTGCCCAGCAATCGTCCGGGGATCATTTTGAACCACTCCTTTTCTCACTTCAACAATCATTCGACTGCCAGCAGTGTATTGCAAGAGCTTTTCCTTAGCATTGGCAAGATTTCTGAATGGTCCAGTGACATCACTGTCTTGAACAACCAGAAAGAAACCTTCTATTAGCGTGGCAACTTCATCACAGCTGGTTCCTTGCGCCAAAGCTGCGCCACAGACATGAGATGCACGAGTCGAAAGATCAGCCCGTTGCAAAACTATGCTCGTGCCATGAGTAGCATCCATCATCTTGCTTGTGATTCCATTAGCCCTAGACCCAGTGTATCCTTCTGTCATCAATGGAACAAATTTCAAAATAAGTTCTTGACTGCCCGGCTTGTACCTATTCACCAAGCCAGCATGCACAGCTGCACTGCATACATTGGAATCGCTGTGGTATAAATTGTCTGTGCCAAACACAGAGTCAGTTGAGGATGCCAAAGCAACATCACAAGTCACCAGCAGCACATCAAAAAGCCGCAAATCAGTATAAAGCTGACTGCCAGTTTTCCCATTGGCTGATATTGGACTGGTCAAACGTCTAATGAATTCTGGATCAAACTGCAGCTCCAGAGGTCCATCCACTTGTAGTGATCCACAACGTCCACCACTCTTTATCTCCAGTGCTTTGTTCTTGTGACGAAGCCAGTGGCCAGCACCAGGTGGTGGTGAAGTTGACCAATCTATCCACCCAACAGAATCAGGGATCAGCTTGAAAGGTGTTCCGAACACCTCGCAGATCAAGCACAGGTCTGGCCAATGAAGAAGATGGGAATCGATTCGATTCGATTCGATTGAAGATTCGATTATCATTCGATTGAATCCTTGACCTTCCTAGAGCTAGCTAGCTAGTCTACAGATACCGGTGAGCACCCAAGAGATAAAGATCTTGCGGCAGTGTTGGTACTGTATCAATAGCAAGATAGATGATAGACTTTTGATGAGTTGAACCAAGGTCACAGCTGTGTGGAGCATGCCTTGGTATCATTGGCATCTCCCCGGGGGTACAGTAGATGTCGTGTTCGTCGAATGGATCATGGATCGAGTTGAGTCGAGTCGAATCGAATGAGTCGAGTCGAGCATTGATTTTCTTTGGCGTTCGGCATGCATCTCCAAACAAGAGCCAAGAGCTAACCATGATGTTCCACACCCCATAAAAGTCTAAGTTCACACAAAACACAAAGCAATTCACCCACCATGACAACAACAACCACAACCCATGAAGTTCAGTTGGCGGTCTACGATCTGTCTCACGGCATGGCCCGTCAGCTGTCGGCTCAATTTTTGGGTCCAGCACATGCCATTGAAATAATCCCTCATACGGCTGTGGTGGTGTTTGGGCAAGAGTATTTTTTCGGAGGAGGCATCCAACACCAAGATCCGCAGCAATTCCGTCAAATGATGGGAATTCACCCGGTGCAAGTCCTGTCCTTGGGTCAGACGACGGTCACAAAAGCCGATTTTGATCAGTGGTGTCAGACTTGCATGCAATCGGGACGATACTCCATGCAGAGCTACGATCTTTTGAATCACAACTGCAATAACTTTTCGCACGATGCTGCCATGGAAGGACTCAAGTTGTCCAAGGGAGTGCCCGACTGGATTCTACAGGTTCCAAGGACATTTCTCTCGTCTCCCATGGGACAGATGATTCGACCCATGTTGGAAAACATGCAAGTAGGAGCTGCTGGTGGAGGAGGAATGGCAGCTCCCTTTGCCAATGCACCCACCAGCACATTTGCAGCTGCACCCAGTCCCCCCCCTCCAATGACCAATCCATGGGCCAACATGCCATCCAACACCAAGACAGCAGCCACAAATCCCCCAAAGAAAGAAACACAAAATGGGAAATCTGCCAGCAAGGGGACGCCTCTGCTAGATTCCTTCTGCAAACCACTCTTGTCCAGTGACAGCAAAACCATTCCTCTTTGCATCAAAAAAATTACCGACAACCTACAGGATTCAGCCGACAAGGAAACCTTGGAGAGTATTGGAAAAGCACTGACAAACAACACCAACAATCAAAAATTGACATCAGATCAAGTGCAACAGGCTTGTCAAATCATTCATTCCAAAATATTGCAACCAAATAATAAGGCCATTACATTTGCCTTGATGCTCTTGCGGGTCATTCTATTGCAATCCACGGGTCAAGAAACAGCAGCCCAAGCCTGCTTGGAATGGATCACCACACAAATCACAGGATTGTCCAGTCACGCCGCTCGAGCCATGGCGTGGTTGTCACTCAGCAATGCCGTGTCACTGTCTTGGTGGGCAGCACCACAAGATGGCATTCTAGAAGCTGCCATTGGAGATTTCAATGTGGAATCGCAACCACGACAAGAAGTGCGACAGGCTGCGGCCGCCTTTTGCTATAATTGGGTCTTGCAATCATCATTTTCTGACAATGCGGAATTATCCGATGACCAAGTATCGTTGCTCTGCGCCAGTCTCGAAAGCATCGCTAGTGAACCTGATGCCACCACAAAGCTGAGACGAGTGTTGGTGGCGGCAAGGATTCTAATGCCCTTGGAACAGCAGGTATCTGTTCCTGCCAAGACACTCATGCGGGACCTGGGTTTCCCCGAGGCCATTCAAGAGGTAGCGCAAACTACGGCGGATACCACGGGGGATGCTCAAAAGTGTCAAACCCTGGCCAGGGAAATGCTGAATATTTTGGGGGGTTAGTGCTGTTGTGGCTTTCCAAGCAAATTCGTAGATAATCCATAGATAAAGACAGGCTTTCAAAGCAAGCTTTCAGTAATAGGCATAATTTGTTTCTCCCAAGGCCTCGAGGTGCCCCTGCTCACAAGTACCAGCAGTATTGCAAGATGCAGGAGCCAGGCACTAGCCCACTGCTGTAGAGAAATACGGTAGGAAGCGCGGCAGAGATAAAAGTATACAGTAGCAAACGTTTGTTCCAACTATTCTTTTAGGAGCTCTTCTGCAAGAATGTTCAATCCAAACACCCCACGAGGTTCCGTGTCTATGTAAGGTACTGTCGTGACGCGTGGCGGTTTGGTCATGGCGGCAGTGGCTGATTGTAGTTCACCGAGAGATATCATTTGGCCCTGATGAACATGTGACAGATAGGTCTTGGCATCGCTGCCATCATCTTTCAACACTTGATTGGCAACCACGTTGCGCACTTTGATTGGCATGTCGGGAGCTTCAAACGTCAAATCATTCAATAACCGTGTGCTTTCTCGGATCGCCAACTCTGTCGGGATCGTGACAATGATAAACTCAGTCTGCCATGGATCCACAAAGAGATCTTCCAAGTCATACATTTGCAGTTGAAACTTCAGCAGAGTGGACTTGGCCGTGGCAGCGGCTGTCTCAATCTCTTCACTCGAGGCGGAACTTGCGACGAGCATCTTGACAGCCACATTGGAATTTACCTTCTCGGAAATGGCCAGCAAACGATCAATCAATTCTGCCAAGAAGCCAGGTGTGCTCAGCATCCTCAATGTATGCCCTGTGGGTGCAGTGTCAATTACAATACGGTCAAAGCCTCCCTTCTTGACTAGGTTGATAACCTTGGCCAGTGCCACAACCTCATCTGTCCCTGCAGGTAATGTGTCGAATACTTCTTCCAACTCTTTCAGTGTATTGCGAATGCCACTGCCATCGTCGTCGCCTCCACCACCAATGAGTTTATCGACTACACCTTTGAATTGACTGATTGACTGAGATGGATCAACTTCCAAAACTGATAGTGACCCCTCTCCAGGAGGAACACCCACAAGTGGGCAATCCATGAGGTCTCCTCCAGCTAGATTCATCTCAATGGCATCACCGAGGCTGTGAGCTGGGTCCGTGCTGATGAGTGCTACGTTGTGCCCCTTGGCTGCCATGGATACTGCCAGTGATGACGAAGTTGTTGTCTTTCCGACTCCACCCTTACCACCGCATATGAGTACCTTACAGTCCTCCGATCTGCCCTCTTCCATGAGATGCGAAAAGTTGGGATTGTCAACAAAGCACTGCGAGCCCAGATAGTAGAGAGCTGGGACTCCCACCAGTTCGACGTCAAAGAAAGGAACCTCCGTCAAAGTAATGGGTTTGTCACTTCCATTCTCCTTAAACTCTGGCGTTGCACTCACTTGGTCGATTGCTTCTTTTAGTTTGCCGACCCATTTCTCCTGTCCAGCTATCCTTCGTTGGTAATATCCTTCCAGCGCCTCGGTAGATTCTCCTGATCATTCCAAGAGTACCGTATGAATTTCATGAGTACACACAATAAAGACTAGGCAGAGAAAGATTCCATGAAAGTAGCAAACTCACCTTCAAAATCTGCCACGCATTGGTTTACCACCACATCCGTGACGCTGACCCCTTGCGAGCCCAATTCGGCCATGAGCCTTTTGCTTTCGCTGACTCCTAGTTTGGTGGGAATGGTGACAACGACAAAGCTGGTTGTGGTGGCGTCCTGAAGCCGAGCACGAAGCCGAGCCATTTTTTTCCGGAAAGCTTCCAGTCTGTCTACGGCATTGTCGATCGCTTGAGCTCTTTGTTCCCCTTGAGAATTTCCAAACAGTGCTTGTAGGGTGGATGCAAGGCCTGGAGGAGTATAATGAATTGAAAAGAATCCAAAAGTGAGTAATACTGTATTGTCAGCCGACTATTCAATTTTGTTGTCCCCATGACGGCAACGTACCAGATAGTTTCATTCGCAGCTTGATGAGTTTTCCCAGCAGGCCATCCAAAAATTGCGGCAGTGCCAACAGTCTCAAGGTGTGTCCTGTGGGTGCAGTGTCAACAACGATCACATCAAAATCGGCTGCCACCGATTCCGTATCCAAAACATTTGAGAGTGCCACAAGTTCATCTAACCCTGGTGGTGGATTGTTTAATAAACCTGAAAACTCTGCCAATCCAAAACCCTCGAGAAAATCAGGAGATACCCCCATGGCATCGGCTAATCTGGTAATGTCAAAGGCTTCTAGGTTTTTTCGAAATTCCTCCAGAGCCGCGGATGCATCCACTTCACACGCGTAGAGTCTTCCACTGGTAATTGGATCGGTCATCATGATGGGTTTTCCTTTTCCTTTTCTCAAATCTTCATCGAGGGCATCGCCCAAGGAGTGTGCTGGGTCGGTGGAAACCACGAGTACCTTCAAGTCCTTTTCATAATCCGATGCCAATTTTACAGCCAGAGCGGAGGATGTTGTCGTCTTCCCGACTCCTCCTTTTCCGCCGACAAAAATGGTGCTAGGCTCTTTTCCCGGTGGACGATTGCTGACATCTTCGACCAGCTCTCGCAGCGAAAAAAGACGGTTGTCAGACCAGGAAGAAGAAACTGGTCTTGGTGTATTGGTAGATGTCACTCCAGTCAAACCAGAGGGATAATATCTTGATCTGACCGACCCCACATTGTTCTTGCCTGTGCGGACCAAGGGATCTATCGTCTGGAAGGAGGATACCAGCCCGTTGGTGCCAAGGATCGACAGAATCAGACAAAGGCAAAATCTTGTCATCTTGTTAAAATTAAAATGAAATGGACTTGCGATAAAACACAGCCCAGTTCTCGCAACGTGGCAATGGTGCACTACTAGCTAGCTATTACTGTCGATGCAGCAACGGATATCCACAACAAGGAGAGGCTATGATCCCACTGATTCAATCCCATCCTCCTTTTTCTCTTCTCTCGGGATGCTTCGATGGATCTTTTGTGACACGCGTCAAAAGATCCAACAACGTTTACACGTAAGCGATCTTTTTAACCTTAACTCTTACTTTGTCAGAGCAAAAGATCGTGCCATCAGGGCGAAGAGCCTCCTCCATTCCTCGAAGCTCCAAACGAAGGACAAGGAGCCACAACAGCTACGGGTGCTGGTAGCTAGCTAGTGGATCTGTTGCTTTTTCTTTTGGCTTTGAGGAAGCCTCATCTTTCGAAATGGTTCGTTCATTCATGTTTTTCGTTCGTAGGCGCATGGATGCTTTCCTGCAGGTACGGTACTCGCGAATTGCTAACGTGCTCTATGCCCTCGTCTCTGTTGCAGCCTCCCAGCGCCAGCATGAAGAAATCGTCCAAAAAGCGGAAACGCTCTTCTTCATCCTCTTCTCCCAAAAAGGTTCCACCAGAAATAGTGGCACAATTGAGTGAAATCTGGGAGAAGAAGATCAAGAAGAAAAACAAGAAAAACAAGAATGGTAATAGTTGATAACCCCCAAAAGAATAACCTTTTGCTAGCACAGTCCAGTTGATTGCTTGTTGTTTTGCTCAAGGTTTCGGAATTCTCACCCCATCCTTTGCGTCTTTTTTCGCGACAGTCCTCCCCACGAGTGCGCTAGTGATCATAATGACGGAAGATCTGGAATTAGATCTCGACGAGCGTGAAATTTCAGGGTTCGTAGACAAGGAAACTGCGGACAAGGATACTTTTATTCGATTCGCCGGTCCTAGGCTATTTCAACGGCAGCAGGCCATGAGGGCCTTTGATTTATTTGATGAGCATGGCAAAGGAGTGGTGATTCGAGAAGATGTGGAACGGGTTGCAGCTTCGTTGGGAGAATCATTGGATGAGACAGAAGTGGATGAAATGGTCAACTTGATAGACACATCAGGAGAAGGATTGCTGGATCCGTCCGCTTTTGTACGGCTGGCTAAATCGGTGGGGCTGTAGCAGAAAGGAGAGGTGTTACCTAAAGTTGCATACAAGATTGATAATAGTTCACTAGCTGTTACTTCGTTTCTCCAGGCGCGAACTTATGCAAAAGCGAAGATCACCAACGGTGACCACACTTGCGAAGCGACCTCACCATAGTCTGTATCACACCAACAATGGTCAGCCTTCATTCCGGCCATTTTCTGCCTCTTGTGGCGATCAGTAAATGGTATCAAGTGCTTCTCAAACTCCAGTCGAATTTTGAGGCAGGCCAGCGCGTAGACTTGCCAACGTCTTCTTCGCAGCAATTTCAGGACTTGGAAGATATTGGATAATCTCCCTCTAGCAAAGTGAAACCTTCTCTCACATCCTTGGGGGTTACTTTTTCAACATGGCCACGGGATTTCAAGGGGTTTTAGAGTAGGGAGATCATTGGGAATCATTCCGTTTGCGCCTTTCAGCTTACAACTGACTCCTCCTCCGCCACATCTTCTTCACCCAGATTTCCAATCCCTGTAAGGGCAAGAATCCAGGCATACTGACAAGGGATATTCCTAGGAGTCAATGCGGGAAGTTGGATTGTCATGCCAGCTTTGCTTGCCTCTCCACGATGGCTCCAACGAAGGTCTATGCTTTCTTTTCTGGCAGATGGAAGACCCAGCATGTGAACTTTGGTACTCTCGGTTGGAACGGGAGATTTTAGCTGCAACTTGCTGTCTTCTGGCCATTCCGTGAAGAGCGCATAGAGCACCTTGTTTTGCTGGCTGACTGTGTAGAAAACTTTGGAGGCAGGTTCATGTTGTGTGTGGTTCCAGGGTCGACTGCCATAGATGGCATCTCCATTGACCGATAGCCACGATCCAATCTCTGTCAAACGCTCTTCAAAGATTGGATCCAAAGTCCCATCTGCCCGCGGTCCCACATTCAATAACATGTTTCCATTGTACGCCACTGTTTGAATCAGCGCGTGAATGAGATACTCGGCAGTGTAGTAGGATTTCAATGTGAGGGATCGATCGTATCCCCATGATTGCGACGTAATGGTGAGCGCATTTTCCCACTTATGATGGTTGATCTTGTCTGGCAAATACCGATCTTGACAAGTCAAGAAACTCCCATGGTGGCACATGGCATCTTTGCCCCAGCGATCATTCCAAACGCCTGTTTTGGCCACGGTTGAGTTTGTGGCGTACCAAGCCAAGAATTGTTTGGAATCCCAGTAATCACTGTGAGCGTCCCAATCACCATCGGACCAAATGACCTCGGGTTGATATTTTTCCACAATATCGTACAGTTCTGGCATGGTTTTCAACTTGACAAAAGTCTGAGATTGAAACTTGTTTGCCTTGTCGTGTTCATAAAGTGGATTGAACCATTCGTAGAGGCTGTGGTATAGTCCAAACCGAAGAGGTTTTTGGGTTTGATTGCTCATAGTCTTTTTGACCGAATGTGCCAGCTCTCCCACTAGATCTCGCTTGGGCCCCACCTCGACAGAATTCCAATTCCAGCTGGTTGGCACTGCTTGCCGAGAATCCCAATTACAGAATCCTTCATGATGCTTGCTGGTCAAGACCACGTACTGAGCTCCACTTTGGGCAAAGACGCCGGCCCAGTGTTCCGGATCGTAGAGGGTAGCATCAAATCGATGAGCATAGTCGGCATACGCAAACTGCGGCAGTTCGGTCTTGTTGACAAATGCCTTGATTTCCTCTGTGGCTTGATTGGTACTTGGAGCGTCACCATTGCGGCCCCACTTTTGCCAGAACCACTCTCCTTTGTAGGAAGGAACCGAAAAGACGCCCCAGTGGATAAAGATCCCAAACTTTGCCTCGTCATACCAATTAGGCAGAGGACGTGAATCCAGAGATTCCCAGGTAGCTTCGAAGCCCAGAACCCCGCCTGACTTGAAAGGATATTGCAGAGTAAACAGCAGTAGTAGCGACTTGATGCGTTGGCCGAAAACCATCATGAAGGAGCTCGTCAAGACGTTGAATACTTGAATGCTTCGCTTCTGTGATCCAATCTACTACTCACTTCTGCGTACCAACTTCTGTCGCTTAATTTTGCTTTTCCCACCTGGTCAGTTATTGACTTCTGAGGTCAAGACAACAACAAATGGTGGAGGGGAGGGGGCATGAGTAGAACTGTCACTCCACTCACAGATTTTGACTGCGTCTCCTGGGGGACAAAGATCCAATCAAAGTTCTAACCAAACCTACTCTAATAAACCCCCCTATACATGTGTGCGAATCCACTCCTTTCATCCCCTTGTTGTTTCTGTGGATGGCATGCTTGCCCCCCCGGCCAAGATTCTTTTACAACACCTTGCTTCTGCGGCTGCCAAAACTTGGTTCGCATACTCTCAAATGATGTTCATCATGCAGACCCGCATCTCTATTGCCCTTGTGAAAGCTATTAATACCCATTTCTGTCTCCGTGGATCCAGCAAAGCCAAACCCTTTGGCCCCTGTAATGGTCCTCAATTTCTCGCCCCTGATCCCATCTAGCTAGCTACTCTTCTTTGCTTATTAAAAAAGCCTGGCCCCGGCTGGCTCCATAGATAATCTACCTGGTGCAGTCGTACACTAAACTCTAAACCCCTTTAAAAATTCAGACCACAGACCACAGAGAGATCTGTCATCGGCATGTTGCCTCAACCCTTTCCTACGTGCTGTTTGTAACTTGCAATGTTGCTTCGCAGACAATTTATACCACTATGATTCCAAAGTTCGTAATGCAGCTTTTCATACTGGTGTTGTGGACAGGTACAGGCCCGGCAGCCAGCAAGTTGTTTCGAAGTTTGTTCCCTTGACGGAATGATACACTTAATCTGCCGCTGCTTCAACTCTTGCAACTCGTCTGTGGCCCAGCTTTGGTGAAAGGCATTAGCTGTGATGCAGTGCTGCACTGCTATTTCAAAGGAGTATCACTGCAGCTTTCTAGAGGTGTAACCTAAAGAGGCAGCTGCCTTGACAACATGTGGTTCAACTTTCCACTTCTGCTGCGTTGGTCTCTTCCATGGCTAGTCTCGCTTTCTTGGCGGCGCGTTCTGCCCGAATCGCCGCAATCTCTTCTGGCGTTCGTTGGGGTTTGGGTGATCGCCCTCGCCGCTTCCTCCATTTGCCGCCCGATCGGATATTGGCAAGCTCAGTAGTTTCCTCGTTCTTGCCGTCATCTTCGTGGCAGTTTTGAATGGTTTCAAATTCCTTGCTTTCAGCAAACGACTGGAGGTTGGCCACTGCTTCCTTGTCGGATGTAGAGTCCCAAAGTATGCCTGCAATGCGTTCGTGAGTTGCCTTGCTTCCGTGCTCTAACAGTAGTCCCAACGGCGCAATATTATCACTGGGCGGTTTCCTCCTCTGAATGAGTGGTTCGTCGGACATGACATGGGCATATTCGGCATCAGGAAACCCGGTGTATCTCGCCAAGAAATCTAAATGCCATGGCAAAAAGTTCCAGCTCTTTTTCCTTCCCAACTCATCGTCTCCAAAGTGATCTTTCATGTAACAGGTCAATCGTCTGTATATGGCAATGCGTTCCTCCAGATCTGGTTCCCAGGATTTGCGTTGCTGAAATTCCTGAAAGATCCAAGGTTTGATCAAGGCACCCCTTCCCACCATGACGGCATCCACTCCAGTTTCTTCGATGCGCCTGTGCGCTTCCCAATGGGTAAAGATATCGCCATTTCCCACAATGCACATTGCTTTGTCGTCGTCGTACTGCTGATTCTCCTCCACAATTTGTTGTATCAGACTCCAGTCGGCTGCTTTGTGATAGCCTTGTATCGCGGTTCGACCATGAATGGTCAGGGCGGATGCGCCAGCTTCTCGTACAGCCCTGGCAATATCCAAGACATTGACACTGCTGGCATCTCGACCCAGGGTATCCTATGGTTGTTGTTATCATCATCATTTTGAAGTAGTCCTTTTACCAACTTCCCCAGTTTTTCCGGCGACCGCAAGAGTGCCGATCCCAATCCCCGACGTGTGGCTTCGTAAATGGGACAGCCGCAATTGAGATCGATAAAATCCGCATTTTGCGCTGCCAAGCTTATGGCGGCTTTTCCTTCGTGAATGTCGTTGGTGGCAATCTGAACTCCAAAGCATTCTTCGTTGGATGCTCGTCGCAATCGCGCCTGTTCGGTGGGATCTCCCTTGATCAAAAAGCGTGCATAGACCATTTCGCTCATGGATACCGACATGCCAAAATCGGCACAGAGGCGACGAAAGGGCAAGTTCCCACCCCGTGTCAGGGGTGCCAAGATCATTTGATTCTTCCATTGGGATGTGAGAGGGTTCATTGTTTTTACGTCAACTACCGGTAGAGAATTCACAACAACATCCAAGAAGAGTACCAAAAGGAACCAAAGTTTGTGTTTCAGAGGACGCATTTTCGGGAACTGGGAGCTCCTCTTTCAATTCTTCAGCATACTAACTTGCGGCGTTGTTATGGTTGGACTAACGAGGGCAGAGGAAGGAAATCTTGTGATGTGATGTGTGCGTTGATGGCCCGTTTGGACGGGAGTACGGTAGGGTTAAAATTAATGAGTGGATCTTTACGGTAGGATCTTTGGGTGTCCGTTGTTTTCCAATCTTGAAGGACTTTGCCTCGTGGC